AGGCTATAGATGTTGATAGAAGCAGACTGCCACATCTTTCTCCCACAGAATGGCTGGTGGGTTTGAACCTGTGATCTTTCTGTTGGCAGTCGAACGCTTTAACCCCTGTACTACCAGGGATCCTTCATTAAGATTACAGCCAAGAACACCCTATGGAACAGTTCCACTCAATAACGCATGGGATCACCATGAGTCAGAGTCAATTAGACCACAACAGGTTTGGGTTTTGGTTTTTTGAAACTCTGACTTCCCAAGCCTCACAGGTGCAAGAATGCTATTGGCCCTCCATATCGCCCGCCCCACCCCCCACTTGTTCTTGGTCTTTGGGCCTGGCAGAGGTGAGGAACGAGTGCACCAGGTGCTGGTGCTCAGGTGTGCACACTGTCTGGATGGAGGAGGTTCCCTGAGGTGTCCTCACCCCAGCAGGGCCTCACAGCCAGGCTGGAGGGGGCCATACCGAAGGAAGTGGGAACACTGGCAGAATCAACTCAGCAAGAGCAGGAAGGCTCGAGGCTGTATGTTCATGGGCAGGCCCTTCCCTGGTACCTGACACAGGTTGAGACACAGTTCTGAAGCCTTCTTCCCTCCTTTCGCGCCCCCCCTCCTGCCTCTGTCCCTCTCAGCCTCTGAAGCCCCCGTCAGAACCAAGGATACTTAGTAGTCTGACAGCACTTGTCCTCAGCAAGTAGGCTGTTGCGGCTGCCCCCTCTGAGGGCTGGTTGGTGTTCAGGTCAGAGTAATCAACAGATGGACAGGCGGGTCACCTAGAAACCGTTCCTGGCAGGGCAGGCTTCAGGCCTGCTGTCACAGTCCAGCGCTCATGAATGCATGCATTCCAAGGGCACTGTTGGTACCGCAGGCATTGAGGGCCTTCTGTGGACAAGGGCATCTCATAAGAGTCCATAGGACTGAGTGATGATTGGGGGCCAGCCTCACTGTGGAGCTGGTACTGAATTCTCAGCAGCAGCCAGATGAAATCCATCTGGGAAGACTGTGAGGCAGGTTTCTGTTTTCTAACTTAGCTTTTCTTGAATGCCATCTGCCCCAGACAAGGCAAAGGGTGGGGTTTGCTCAGACTCGGGCAGAGTGGTTTGACAGCAATTGCTTCCAGAGGCTCTTTAGATTTCATTTCTTTAAAATCATAATTTTTTTCTTGTTTTTCTAAAATTCAGGGATTGCATCAGGCAGTCAATGGCCTGGGATGGTATTACCACAAATTCAAGAAAAATTATGCCAAAGCTGCCAAGTACTGGTTAAAAGCAGAAGAAATGGGGAACCCAGATGCGTCGTACAATCTTGGCGTCCTGTATTTAGATGGCATTTTCCCAGGCGTCCCCGGAAGGAATCAAGTGAGTATTGAGACCAGCTCTGCAGCTTCTAGTCAGCCTCCCGGCTGTCAGGCCCTGGCAAAAGGTGAACTGTGTGCCCAGGTTAGACTAGGCACCCTGGGTGGTACAGCCACAACGCAAGCCACAGACTCCATCTTCAAGGAGCTCAAAGGTCCAGTTAGGAAGACAAGTCAGTGAAGAGCAAAGGACGACATGTAATCACGTACCATGCATGTGCTAAATAGCATGATCCCAACAGAGTTCTGAAAAGGAGAAAGAGCTAGGAAGGCTTCACGGAGGAGGAATGCTTGACCAGAGGGGAGGAAAGGGAGCAACAAGGTGAGAATGAGCCTTATCTGTTTAAGCAAGAGATGGTGCACAAAGTGATCTTACAAGAAGCAAAGAGCTGGATCCACATTTAGTGACAATGACGGCAGCAGTGACATGATGTGGTAATTCTGGACTCCTTTATTGTGTGACCCTGTGCAGAGCACTTTACCTGTAGTCTTGGTTAATCCTAACCGCCCTCTGTGAAGGCTGCTGTTATGATGTTCATTTGACAGGATAAGCTCCTGAGGCTGTGAGAGGCTATTTATTTACTCAGGCGCAGGCTTAGTGGGCTCTGGACCTGAACCCAGTGTGAAGTGGAAGCCCTTGTTATTGATAATAATACTGATGGTGGCAATAATAACCCAAGCACCATTACCTTCAACATCATTTATTGATTTTATTCAGTGAACTTATGAAGCTGTCCTGTGCCAGGCACTGTTCTAGACTCTGGGGATACCGCAGCAAACAAACTAGGTAGTCACTACTCTTATGAGGCTTACATTCCAGTAGGGGAGAAAGACAGTAAACAAATAAATACATGCTAGAAGGGGAGGAGGAGCTCTAGTAGTGCACTGCCTAAGGCATTCGACTGCTAACCAGAAGGCTGGTGGTTCAAATCCGCCAGCCACGCCATGGAAGGAAGACTGGGCAATCTACTTTCATAAAAATTTACTGCCTCGGAAACTCAATGGGGGTCGCTAAGAGTCGGATTCGACTCCTGGCAGTGGGTTTTGGTCAGAAGAGGAGGGGGTGATAAGTGTTAAGGGACAAAATAAAAGGATAAGAAAGACAGGGAGGGTGGAGATTGGGTGATACTATCTTTCAAAGGACATCAGAGAAGGCCACTTTGAAATGGTAACATTGTAGAGATTCCTACAGGAAGCCTGGGATCAAACCTTGCGGATACATTGTGGCAGAAGAACATTTTGAAAGGATACAGCCAGCACAAAGTCCTCTTCCTCCCTTTAACACCCCATCCCCCCTCAGGGAGACATAAACAGGCTTGACAAGTTTGAGGAATTGTAGAGGGCCACAGTGACTTGGAGAGAGGAGGAATGAGGGGGAGGGCTGGAAGAGGTCAGAAAGGTATTGGGACCAGGTCATGGCTTTTGCTCTGAGGGAGAGTGGAAGCCCCGGGACGGTTTTTAACAGGAACATGATATCCTGTCTTTCAAAACTAACAATCTGTCCTGGAGGAAGTGCAGCCAGAATGCGCCTTGAAAGCAAGAATGGCCAGACTGTGTTATCTACTTTGATCATGTTGTCAGAAGGGACCATTCCCTGGAGAAGG